TACAGCTCTCAATAGGATCAGTCCATGACACAACAACAGCACCACCCTACGCAGAGCCTAAGCCCATCGATTTCAGTAGGTTGAGACAACAGTGACTCTGCAAAGGACAGCACTGTAAGACAACTGCCTATGTAATGCTCAGTTACTTCTCATATTTTCAAGGTGAGCTGGTGTGTGTATTCAAGTGCATATTCCTCCATCAATTATGAAATCTCTCAAGTGTTAACAATATTCAATGATACCACTGATATACTCGTCACCCCTAAACTTTACCAAGAAGACTAAAATCATACCTGTTTTCATAAATGTCTTGGATTTCATACACTTTCTGGTCGATGACATCACTAGATACACGACTGGCCTGCAGCTCATACACTTTCTGATCAATCAGATCCGACACAGTCTTATGAAAATATTGGATAAAGTTTTTTATCACTTCTGGAATCACCTGGTAAGTTTGCTGCTCATATTGTCGTTCATAAGCTAGATCCTGTTTTGGATCTCCTGTCAAATACAAGAGAAACAACAACGTTAAAGTTACTGAGGGTGGGGAAAAATATTCTCATTGAGAGGAATGTGAACGAAATTGCAACTCATCATCCCTACCTCGTCTCTCCCTCCACTGGGTTCCATTTCCCCTCCCTTTCTACACTGGCTGGCTCGAGTTCCGTTTCTCTCCTTCCTCACCTCCTCCTCTAAATGGTGATGGTGCCCTAACCTGGATAGCCCAGGCAAGCCCGATCTCATCAGATCTTGGAAGCGAAGCAGAGTCAACTCTGGCAAGTACTTGGATGGGAGACCTCCTTGGAATACCAGAAGTGAGGGCAGGCTTTATTCAGCCACCTCTCTGAATATCCTCCAGGCCCCCAGTAAGGGTCAGTCATCAGAGGTCGCCATGACTTCCAGGTGTGTACACAGTCAGTCACCAGAGGCTGTGATGACTTCCAGGTACGAGTGCACACACACGGATGTATAAAAAATGCAAAACCCCCAAATAAAATAAATGGTAATGGCCACTACTGGATGTCATTTTGTATTGCTTTGATAACCAAAAATGCCACCTAAACTGGGAAGGGGTTGATGTTTGCATATGCTCAAACATTGCTCTTTATAAGGGTTTTTCCGGGAGGTATACCCCCCCCAAATTCTTTTGGGTTTTTTTGCACAATCATGAAACATTGCGTGCCAATCTTTTTAAATGAATTTAATGAATAGTAGACAAAACAATATTTTTTGCTTTAACTATTAAGAGGCTGTGAAAGTAAAAGCATGCATTTTTTTCTATGAAGAAGCAGAAATTTCTTTTTCTTGCCATCCAGTTGCAGCTGACTTATGGCAGCCCTGTAGGATTTTCCAGGCAAGAGATGTTCAGAGGTGGTTTGCCATTGCCTGATCTGCATAGTAACCCTGGCATTCTTTGGTGGTCTCCCATCCAAGAATTAACCAGGGCCAACGCTGCTTAGCTTCTGAGATCTGATAAGGTCAGGCTAGCTTGAGCTGTCTAGGTTGGGATAAGAAATAGAACAGCGACAATTAAAAAGAGTCCCAAACATGAAAGGCAGCTGTCACCTTAAAACTTTTCTTCCTTTTGCACATATTTTACATACCATTTTGAAAATTTCACATATGTCTCAAGGGAGAATGCCAGAACCAGGGTTGCCAACTCTGGCTTGGGAAATTCCTGGATATTTGAGGGCAGTGCCTTGAGAATGTGATGCTCAGTGCCTTGAGAATGTGATGCTCAGACTGGCCTGTAGCTAACATGGGGCCCACGGGACCCAGCCCCCTAGTGTTTCTTCTGGGCCCCCTCCCTCCTAGACTGCCCCCAAGGTGCTCCAACTTACCACCTGCCCTGTGCTTTCATTTAATTAGCTGGCAGCCCCCCCCCCGAGGCCCCCTCCCCCTGCTCAGTAAGGACTGAATGTCTGTGGTACACCACAGAGCACAGAATCAAGCTCCAAAGCTGCCATGTCATCCAGGGAAACTAATCTTTGCAGTCTGGAAACCAGCTGTAATTCTGGGAGAATCCCAGGCCACACCTGGAGATCTGTAAGCCTAACCAAAGCCCAGGAATAACCCCAACAAATGGAATGCCACTAAGTATGAAGGATTTTTTTTTAAAGTTTCTGAGCCATGGTGTTTGGAAGAGAAAATGCATCTTTCATGTTAAAACCCAAACAGTCCAAAAAGAAGAAGAGATTGAATTTATACCCCACCCTTCACTCACAGTGGTTTACAAACTCCTTTCCCTTCCCACAACAGACACCCTGTGAGGTAGGTGGGGCTGAGAGAGCTCTTTCAGGAACAGTTCTGACAGAACTATGGCTTGTCCAAGATCCTCTAGCAGCTGCAAGTGGAGGAGTAGGGAATCAAACCCGGTTCTCCCAGATTAGAGTCTGCGCACTTAACCACTACACCAAGCTAGCTCTCATTGTATTTACAACACTGTATCTTCAACATGCAAGATTGCAAACTTACTAACAATTTGGGGTTGTTTGATTCAGATCTTTCCCAAGTTTTCCCCATGAAAACAAACACCACTAGATAAATGAATTCAACGTTTCTAGAATAGTTGCCAAACTAAATACAGGCCAAGGTTTGTTTCTTTTAGTAGTAGCCCATGTTGGAAAATTTCTGTAAGTATATATTCTTTGGTTTACCATATAACTCTGATACAGAAGCTACAGCTAAGCTACTTCTGTACAATATAGGGTCTTTAGCAATTAGTAAAAGCTCCAGGCCATATATACTCAAATATACAACATAGTCTACGAACCCCACAAAATAATCGCCTCGAGGCAGCATTGTTATCACCAACATAACAGCAAGAACTCACCTGTGTGCATATCATAGTCACCTGGATAAGTATAGGGATCATAGGACCCCTGAAAACAAAGAAAGGAAAGAAGAATTAGTCCAGCCGATTCTCCCCCGCCCAACTCCACCGGGTCAAGTGTCAGAGCAACTCTCTTGTGGGTCTCGAGTGGAGCGACATATTATCAGTCCCACCTAACCGAAATCCTTCACCGTCCTCCTGCCGAATGCGTGAGCAAACACAGCAGCCGGCTCCATCCTTCCCCTACACCTAGGCCCCCAGCCGGCTACTTCAACCCATAAGGCCGGCTAGACCAGACAGGGCGGGTTTGAGCTCCCCTTCGCCGACCAGGAGGCCGGCGAGTAAACAGTCGCAGCTGGTACCTCCTCGTATTCTTCCATCGGATAGGGCATAGAAGGGGCTCGGCAAGGAGCAACAACGAGCCCACGCGGTGAAAGCTACCGACTAGGAGGGCAGCGCTGTGACAAAGAAAGCGCTCCGACTAGCAACTGCCTTATTTCCGGGATTAGCCGGAAGCAGATGAGAACACGCTCCGGGCAGAAACAGAAAACTAGACAGGATCTGTTTTTGCAGAAGGTTGCGAAGGGGAAGAGGAGTTGCTGTTGTGGAATATTCTGGGACTGGAGGGGGTGCATAACAGGGGGCCTGAATAGGGTTGTGATTGTGAACTAGGGCTGCAAGGAGTAAAGCAGACATATAAATAATTAAATAAAGTATGTAAAGTTTTAGATTTTGATTATATTTTTAGATTAAAAACCTTTTCTTTGGGAAAAGGTGCCCCCAATAATGTGACAGCTGGCAACAGCTTTTTAATTAAGTGCTATTATTTTTAAAACTGCCAATGGTAGGCTGTATTTAAGCAGTCTTTGTTCTCGAATGAGAGGTAACCATCTCATTGTATTGTACAAGAATTTTTACTCTATTACAGTGTAATCCTAAACCAAGTTACCCCCTTTTAAACTCACTAAATTCAATGGATTTAGGGACAGGGTAATTCTGATTAACCTTCTAAAGATCTGAAAATCTTCTGTTGAAAGACAAATAGTTCTGACAAGCCTTAATTTAAACTAAAGGCCAAATATTTATGCTGAATGTTTTAATATCGAATCTTTGTCGTTTTAATTTGTTTTAAAATTGTACTGAATTCATGTTTTTGTAAGCGGGGAAGAGCAGTTAAGAAACAGAGTGAAATAATAAATAAATAATAAATAACTCTCAATTAGAATTTCTGGTTTCTGTCTTTTGGGCAAATCATATGATATATAAACAAAGGGTGAATCGTTGCCTTCATTCCTGTAGAAGCATGGAGTTTTTCCACCTGCACTTTATGCATCTAACGAAGTGGGCTGTAGCTCATAATTTATGCCATAATGAATAAAGTCGTTAATCTTTAAAGAGCCACAAGACTTTATTTTAGCCTTTATCACTCCTTTATATACACAAAACATTGCATTCATGCTGGCTTTTAATTTTTTTTGTGCTCCGCTCTCCATCATCTTCCTTCATTTATCACTAGCTCAGCTACTTTTTTTTTTTTTTTTTTGTATAAAGTAGAGAACAGGCCAAAAAAAACTTGCTGGGAGAGCGGACGATTTAGAACGTAAAACGAGTCCTTCTGAACCAGACCAAGGTTCTATCTAGTCCAGTATCCTGTTCCATGCAGCAGCCAACCAAAGGTCACGGAGGTCCAACGAACAGAGCCTGAGGCTTTCCCCTGCTGCCTCCTCGCACTAGTAGTATCCAGAGGCTTACTGCTTCTGAATGTGGAGATTCCTTTTAGTAACCTAGCCTTCACGAATCTAACCCTCTTTTAAAATCATCTATGCTAGCCTAGCTGCCATCACTACCTTGCAGTGAATTTCACAATTCAATTACTCCTTGAGTAAAGAGGGATTTCAAAGCGTCGCAGTCAGAATAGGGTTTCCTTCCTTCCTTCCATTTGCGCCCCGCGCATGGAGGCTTCCAGGCAGAGCAGGAAGCGAAGCCAGCTGACATTCTAGCTTTCCAACCTACCAGCCTCTTCTTGGGCTGACATGCTCTGGCCGCCTCCTCCCGATTGCGTGACGGTCACGGCGTGGCTTCTGAGTGGCTCCGGCGGCTGCCGCTCTCGCCCTCCCTTTCCCATCGTTCCTATGGTTACGCCTCTCTCGGGCGCTCTCCTGGAGCTCCTCCTCGTAGTGCCTGGGCCCGGGGATTCGGGGGCTCCCGGAGGTGTCGCGTGGAGCCGGGACTGGCCGCCATGGAGCGAGGTGGCGACGCCCCGAGCCCGGCAACGGACATGTTCTCTCTGGCTGGGCTCGGAGCCGCGCTGCGGGCTGTTCCGGAGACTCCCGATGCCGCCTCGCTGAGCTACTTGCAGCTCCCCTGGCAGCGGGAGCGCCGCGTGGGCAAGGTGCCTAGCCATCGCCGCCGCAGGGCCGCCCGCCTGCACCGCAAGGTGGGGCCTATGGGCAAGGAGATCCACGGTGAGGGGCTGGGCGCGGCAAGAGGCGAGGGGCTGCCGTGGAGCGCGTGGAGGTGGAGGCACCGCTGCGCTTCTTACCGTGCCTTGCAAACCTGTGACAGGGACGGAGGGAGAGACGGACTCACGCCACCCGGGCAGCTGTCAGCCTAAAGTGGGTTGGAGCGCGAGAGGAAAGTTGCTGCCGTTCCTGTGCGCATTTACCACGCAGTAAAGCCCCCACTGGTTTTAGTGGGACGAGCTTCTGAGTAAGCATTGCCTAGGACGGCGTTCCTCCTTGCGCTCTTAATTTGGAGCATATTTCATCGAAATGAGCAGGGAGCTTAACGTCAGGCTTGCTAACACGGGTACTTACCGTACTTCAAGTTAAGTTCCTTTTAACAGCACAGTTCAGGGTTAAATGTGTGCATAGGCAATATCACAACTCTCTGCTTCAGATTAACCAGGGATAATATGGTGCAGCAGGTGGCTTGTGAGGCTATAGTGATGCCCATTTGCACATGAACCTGTCTGAATGTGCTGGGGCTTATGTTTGAGTACACATGCAAAGCAACGGCTGTAGGCTGCTGCCATAGAGCTCCCCGGAGCAGTAATACGACCAGTAACAATGGGGAAAATACCATGGCCTGGTTCTGTTAGTGAGTATGATCCTTGTTCTGCTGCCTACTGAAAAGCCTGTGCGGTAGCTCCCTAGATTAGATTATAAGTAGTAAGAGATGGCTGAAGTGCATTAAATGGATTTAGACATGATTTGGGACAACCTTACAGAGCTTCAGCTTCGTTTTCCACAAATGTGCAGTTATTTATTCTGTTCACCAGGCCACTTGTTTAAGTGAATATGAGCATTAAGACTACCACAGTGACTTTCTAGGTGACCTGATAGCGTGAACAGTCAACAGCGACAAAATCTTGTGAAGCTGGCACTCCAGTGCAGCAGAGGGGAAGCACAGAACTACCTATTTTCTTTCTCCACTTTATAAAATAGCAGGATAGGATATTGGGGAAGTGGGTGGATGAGGCTAGTGTTTCTGCTGTTTGGGGGTTCCTGAAAAGCTTTTAATGACTAAAGGAGTGCTCCTACACAGACGTTGTACTGTAGGGAAACATTACGGCCTCGGGGAATTTTTTTGAAGAAATATAATATCAAAACAGGAAATGTGAATGACGCTTGTACAACCATGTGCTGCAGTGGCAATGATTGCACTGTCTAGGGGAAATATCTCCTTTTCCTGGGTACAAAATACTGTATTGTCAAGTGTTCAAAAAAGTATTGTATCCTACAGTAGAAATATGACACTGGGAGGAAGCTGTGGACACAAGCATTTGTTTTGCAAAACCTAACGTTGGAAAGAGCCTAGTGGACAGGAGAGTAAAACTCTTCTTGTTTCCGTAGTCACCTTCCAAAAATCCCCCCCAAAAAACCTGTCTCTTTTTTCCACAGCTTTGAAACGTTTGAGAGAAGCTGCCAATGCTAATGATTTAGAAACAGGTAAGATTACATCGTTCAGGCCCTTCAGCATGTTTCAGTGTAGCTGTCTCTGCAAGTGTTATTGGGTGATGCTGTTCTTGCAGCCTGAAAATATGGTAAGCAGAAAAAATTGACTTCTGGCATGGCAAAAGTAATACTGATAATTGTAGGTTTTGGTTTCAGCATTTTGCATATCAGTCAGCTTCTTGAAGAGGAGTGTAGAAAAGGCTTTGCTAATGTCTTCAAAGAAAGTAGAAGGCCTATGGAGGTGTCAGGTGACCAACAGTGGAATACCAAATAACAATACACCCTTCTAAGTCCATGGAAGTCAGTAGGCTTAGAAGGGTGTAACTTTGCTTAGGGTTGTGCTGCAAAAGAATTTTTCATATTATTTGGCTTCATAGAATCATAGAACCACAGAGTTGGAAGGGGCCATACAGGCCATCTAGTCCAACCCCCTGCTCAATGCAGGATCAGCCTAGAGCAGTGATAGCGAACCTTTTAGAGACCGAGTGCCCAAACTGTGACTCAAAACCCACTTATTTATCGCAAAGTGCCAACATGGCAATTTAACCTGAATACTGAGGTTTTACTTTAGAAAAAAAGAACTCATACATTAACTTAAGATGATCCAAACAAAGTAAGGAAAGCAATCCCAAATGCTTTCATTTACTTAAAATTATTTGGCAGAGAATTCAACACTTTAATGATGGTCTGGGCCTGGCTGGGGTGATGGCACGTGTGCCCACAGAGAGGGCTCTGAGTGCCACCTCTGGCACCTGTGCCATAGGTTCACCACCACTGGCCTAGAGCATCCCTGACAAGTGTTTGTCCAGCCGCTGCTTCCTTCCTTTCCTCTCACTTGCACTCATAATGTGTACCAGTGTGCCATGATACAGTGGCATTTAGGAGCAGGCCTTTATTTATAAATTTCTGTTTCACTTTTTTTTTTATAAAAATACTAACCAGTTTACAAAGGTGGCTTAGAACAATAAAAATGAGAAGATCGGATGAATATGATAGACCTAACAATAAAGTGCTATGAACAGCTTAGAAAGGATTACTTTCAGCTCTTACATATTGTCAAGAGAACAGGTGAACAGAATGGATTTCATCTGATGCCTAACAAAGTAGGCACCAGATGTTGGTCTCTGGAGAGGTGGCATAGAAGTAAATAAAATATCATCAGGGGAGGATTGCCATAACTGGGTCATCAGCACAGGAAAAGCTCTTCTGCCTGAAGGCAGGGGCATATAAAGAAGTTCCTCTGATGCAGATCTTAGGTGATGGGCGGGTTCATAGAGAAGCAAGTGGTCTTTGGGACACTGGTCAGACACCATTTACGCTTTAGCCAGCACTTTGAATCCAGAAACAATCTGGAAGTCTGTGTGTATTTGTATGCGACATGAGTACTGAATACACTTTGGCCCCAGTAATTTTAGTTGTATGGTTAAGAGACTGTGCTTAAATCTCTGCTGAAAATAATTGTTTGGCTGGATTGTGCTCACTGAAAGTGAGCCATGAGGCCTATTTAGATGTTGGAAGGAATGTGAAATTTGTCTGCAAACAGCAGAATATTCACAGTAAGAGGACAAAATGCACATGGATGTATAGTAGTAGCAGTGGGATATATAGAATTCACTTAAAGATACATAAAGAATTAGCATTCGGAAAAATTGTATTTTTACTGGCATCGCCTTCTGAAGGGCCATTTGAAGCATCAACTGTCTTGGTCATAGTAAGTAATAATATGGTGTCTCCCCATTTTTTCCTCACATTCTCTGCCCACTTATTTGAAAAAATAACTTGCCAGAAGTTACTGCTGAAGAATTCTGACCATGGATCTTCAGCACCAAGCATCTATCTGGACAATGTGATCCACAGTTCCCTGCACCTTGAATTGCAGTTCTGATGTAACTTAGTCTTAACCAAAAGCATGTTCCCCTCACTCAGCTTTTCTCACACACTGACTTGCCTTTTCTCCCTTGGTGGCTGCAGTGCAGCAGCTTCTGGAAGACGGAGCTGACCCCTGTGCTGCCGATGACAAAGGTCGAACAGCGCTGCACTTCGCTTCCTGCAATGGCAATGACCACATTGGTGAGTGATCTGGGATTGTCAGCTTCTAGTCCTGTGACTTGGAGAGGGATTGCTGATCATTTCTTTTCCTTCTTCAAAGGTGCTCTCCTGCAAACATCCCAGATTTCACAGGGGAAACCTATTGCTAAAGGAAAAGTGTGAACCTTAGGCAGTGGGGGTGAGAGAGAGAGAGAGAGAGAGAGAGAGAGAACAGGGATGCGCAGTGGTATTCTTTTGGAGTATGCTATCCATGAGGATGTGAATATAAAAAGCTGTCTTACACATAGTCAGGTAATTGATCCATCTAGCTCACTCTTGTCTGTTCTGACAGTCACAGGCTCTCCAAGAACTCACACAGATTCTACTGCCAATCCTGCTCCCCATGATCCTTTCAGTTGAAGAGGCTGAGAATTGAACGTGGGCTCTTGTACAGGCAAATGCTGCTGCTAAGTTATGGGTCTCCCCTTCTAGGATTGTCAAACATTTATTGCTTCTGAAGAGTTTAGACAAGGCTTATGAGTTTAGGTATGAAGCAGGGGGGGAATGATCCCTGAAATTTCTAACATCTTCAGAAGTAGGACTAAGGAGGACATTTTGAGAACATACAGGTGTCAATCAAGGTTGACATGGGACAGTATTCGGTCAGAATTGTGCCTGTATGCAGGCTTGAAAATTTCATGGATATGCTCTAAAAATAATTATTACAGGATACCCAACTCTTCTAAAAGAGTTTGTAAGGAAATCGAAATGCATTTGGGGAAATATGAGCAAGGGTGATTTTGCTCTGTTCATCAAGAGCTGACATTCAAAAGCTAGTTGATTTTGATTTAACATATAGAAAGAATAAGTGGCTTTTCTGTGCCTAATGTTCAGGGCCAGCTTAAGCCTGTTTTTGTGTTTTAGTGCAGTTGCTTTTGGACCATGGAGCTGACCCAAACCAGCGAGATGGTCTAGGAAACACACCCCTGCACTTGGGTAAGTCTCAGCTACACGCTATCAAATAATTGCTCCACCTTAGACTTTGGAGTTTTTTGTCTATCTCTTTTCTTCCTTTGCCAACATAGCAGCAACTGTCTTAGTCAGGAGAATTGCCAGGGCATATTCTGGATCTTCATGAGTATCATAAAGACAGAGCTGGTGAAAGTCATTTTGTCCTAAGGAATTTGAAGCCGGAGTGAGACTTAACTTGTTGTGAGCAGAATCTGGTGACCTGGTCAGAATCCTGAAAATACACGCTTTGTTAAATCAGTATGACAAGAAGGGGGATCCGTGATACTCGTGGGGGGGAGTATTCCCCACAGCTCCCGGCCTGCAGAAGCAGGAGGAGGAAGCGGCGGCAGGTGAGCCCAGCAGGCAGACCCATCAGGCCCGCCAAGACTTCTTCCCCCCCCCCCGTGGCAGCGGCGAGGCCTGAGGCCTGCCAAGCCTTCCCCTCCTCCCCGTGGCAGTGGTGAGGCCTGAGGCCCGCCAGATCTCCCCCCTCCTCCCCCCTTCCCCAACACTGGCGGCGGCAAGGCCCCCCAAGCCTTCTCCCTTCCCCTGGCAGCCGTGAGGCCTGCCAAGCCTTCTCCCTCCTCCTTCCCCCAGCAGCAGCGAGGCCTGAGGCCCGCCAAGCCTTCTCCCTCCTCCCCCAACACTGGCGGCAGCAAGGCCCGCCAGGCTTTCTCCCTCCTCTTTCCCCCCCGCACCCGCGGGACCAAGCCTTCTCCCCCTCTCCCCCAATACCGGTGGCGGTGAGGCCCACCAAGCCTTCTCCCTCCTCCCCCCAGTAGTGGCGAGGCCTAAGTGGCTCACAGCCGCCAGCCTGCCAAGCCTTCTCCCACCCCCCTCCGCGGCAGCAAGGCCTGAGGCCCACCAAGCCTTCTCCCACCCCCCCCAGCAGCGGTGAGGCCTGAGCAGCTCACAGCCGCCAGCCTGCCAAGCCTTCTGCTTTCCAGCGGCGGCGGCAGCAAGACAGTTGCCAGGGTGTTCTCTGCACATGCACAGGGAACGCTATTTTACTTTTGGGGGAATTAAGTATCCGCCGTATAGTTTTTTCAACTGTTTAGATTTTTCTGCACACCTGGAGATTGCTCCAAGTGTGCAGGAAAATCTCTCTGCCCCCCAAGTGCCCCCGTTGTGTGGATTTAGATATCTGCATGGAGGGGGCAACTTGGCTATTAGAGATATAGATATTGTTAGAATGTCAGACTAGGATCCGGGAGAGTGTGATTCAGATCTTCACTCTGCTGTGAAGTTCACTGGGTGGCCTCACCCTAGCCTACCTCACAGGGTAGTTGTTTTGAGGATAAAAAAAATAAGGGAGAACCACATATGCCTCCCTGAGCTGCTGGAAGGAAGGCAGCATAATAATGTACTATGTAGAAATATATATATACGTTTTTGGTCATGGAGAGAAAATATGAAACTGGATGTGGTATTTGCTTTAGAACTCAGAAAATGAGAGAGGGTATGGGCAGAACTACCTGTTCCATACGAGCCTCCTTGCCTTATTCCCCTCATTAAGCTGAATAGAATAACATCTCTGAAGTCTCTTTAAAACAAAACAGGTTTGTGCTGTCATGAAACTATGCAAATATATTTCCTTTGTTATTCCTTATGAACCTGACTGTTACGCAGTTCTAGATTTCCCAGTTGCAGCGGCAATATTTTTATTTCATGTCATGTGTTCAGTACATTTCTACATCTGTTATCTCTTGAACTCCTACAGTAGCCGTAAGGCAAGCCAGTATGTTTAGCCCCTTATTGCAAAAGGAAAGGCTGAGTGGCTTGCCTAAGGCTCCCTTGTGATTTGTAGATGAAGTGCAATTTTGAACCAGCTTGCACTCTTGGCCAATACACTACATCAGCATTTTTACAAGTGTACCCTGTAGAAAGTAGACTACCTTGATAAGACAGAATTTGTCCTCAGTATGCTACTGTATAGTGCAGCTTAGTTGTGTCTTGTGTTTTCCTTCCCCAGCTGCCTGCACAAATCATGTTCCTGTCATCACCACACTGCTTCGTGGAGGTAATTTTTCCTCTTGACAAATTATAAAGTTGCCCTTTCCTTTTGTGTTGTTCTTCTGGAATGTACCTTTGTCCTTCTGTGTGTGCATCTTTCCAGGTGCTCGAGTAGATGCCTTGGATAGAGCTGGAAGGACTCCACTACACCTGGCCAAGTCAAAGCTAAACATCTTGCAGGAAGGCCTTTCACAGAGCCTTGAAGCGGTTCGTCTTGAAGTAAAGCAGGTAAAAAGAAGCTCATGTCCCCCGGGAGGCTGCAGTGTGTGTCATGGGCAATGTTCCCTCTAAGCTGTGGAGTCTTGTGAGCAAAAATTCTACTTTGTGAGCTACTGGCATTAAAGTTGTGAGTGAGCGATTTGGCTACTGCATCAGTTAGTTTGCTCTGGAGCCATTCTTCCTGAGCTAAGACAAAAATGTGTGAGCTGGAGGCTAAAAAACTGTGAGCTAGCTCACACTAACTCAGCTTAGAGGGAACACTGGTCATGGGTACCATTACATTCTGTGCTTTAGAAGGGAATGGAAGAGTTAATTTAAGTACGAGAGGATTTGATGAACTGAAGAGCCGTAGCTTCTAAGTTAAATGGAAGATCTGCATTTATGTACAGAATCATGGTAGGAAAGGAACACAATGTAAAAACTCTGGGATAACCTGAAAAATTCATAAAAATAGTCTTGCTGGATCAAACTTGAAGACTTATGTAGTTAAGCGAGCTTTTCAGATATTAACAAAACGCTGTGTGTTCGTCTCGGGAGTTTTTATGCTGGGGCTGTACTACTGCCAGTCTTCTTTACTTGGAACTCTGCATTGTCTAGTCTATACAGAAAGAACACAGTGTTGAGGATATTTCTCAGGGTTTGCTTTTTCGACTCCAACTCTTATCATGAAGTCATCCATAGCAGCACCTGCCCTGGCCCTTTTACAGCCTCTGCTGTTCTAGGAAGCTCTTCTTTTCTGACTAAAGGACGGCTGTCATCACTGGTGCTGAGCTGATGGTGCAAACAGTGGTAGTTTGAGTTTTAAAAATGTATGAGGGATGCAGAAGAGGCAGCTGCAATGAGTTGGGTTGAGCCTGTGCTTTTCTCTCAGCAGTTTCCTTGCTGCATGCACGGTCAGGCAGCAGGCAGTCTAGAGGCACTTTCAGGGTGAGCCCTGAGTCTCACCTATGTAGAACTCCAGCAGGTGGGGAAAGCTGGCAAAAGGATGGTCACTTTTGCCTCTTCACCCTAGAAAGCACAGGCCCTGTTCATTGTGGTCCCTTTTCTCAGGCTTGCATGTATGACTGGCCCTAAATTTTAATTTTGGGTTGAGGAACGTCACGGTGCAAGCGCAGGGTATGAAGAAAGATAGGATTACACGCTACTTCAAAAAGCCCACCTCCAAATCGGTGAGAAAATACAGTTACATCAGTTCACACCTGAAATTGCATACTACAGATAACTTGGAACCGCTCCCCCCCCCCCCCCCCCCCCCACAAAACAGCCCTTCAGGAGAAAAGAGGTCCAATGCAAAGAAAACACAGGAAAGCAGCACTTTTGAGAGGAATGTAAAATGGGTATGGAGTGTGAAAGACACACATACAACAGAGGACAGAAGGGCCTGGCGTGATGTGATCCATGGGGTCATGAAGAGTCGGACTCGGCTGTGTGACTGAACAACAACAACAGTGTGAAAGAATGGAGCGATTCCCGAGTTAAAGGCTAGTCTGCAAATGCCCCAGGATTGTCTTCCAGAGTGGCCTACCATATAACTCTGAGAAGCTCACAAGCTTCATATTGATGAAGTCATTCCTTTCGTTTGTCACCCATATCTTGTAATCAAAGCTCTGCTGCCTCTGGGCATGGTTGGTTTCACTTGGTTATTAAGCATTTCAACATTTGTTAACCATCTCCTCTAAATTTGTCCAGTCTCTTTAGAAACTATATAAACTAGCATTTGTTGCCATATTCTGCAAGAGAATAACTGCAAATTATTTTACCAATTTATATCCCACTTCTACCATTGTTTGAAGCGGGTTACAGTTACAATATGTGAAAATAAACTCTGATAATTATAACAACCGTAACTGAAAGAGACTCATAACGTGAAAAATAAAAATCATAAGAACATAAGAAAAGCCAATGTTGGATCAAGCCAGTGGCCCATCTAGTCCAACACTCATCACACAGTGGCCAAACATACCAGGTGCCATCAGGAGGTCCAGCAGTGGGGCCAGGACACTAGAAGCCCTCCCATTGTTGCCCCCCCCCCCCAAGCACAAAGAATACAGAGCATCCCTTGCCCCAGAGTGAGAGTTCCTACCTATACCTTGTGGCTAATAGCCACTGATGGACTTCTGCTCCATATGCTTATCTAATTCCCTCTTGAAGCTGTCCATGCTTGTAGCCGCCACCACCTCATGTTATCCATTAACTATGATAATAAACCACACCAAAATCCCATTACAGACACTCATTTTCTGCATTTCCTACCTCTGTGCATATCTCCCAGCTCGAATCAAGCTGATCTTGTCTTGCAATCTACCTCTCCCTCCTGACTGCAGCTGGCTTTTCTTCGTAGCACCCCTTCCACCTTCTGATTCAGATGTAAGGGCTGAGGACTCTTCATTCTCATTTGTATCTGATGAAGTGAGCTTTGACTCACAACAGCTTGTACCCTGGAAAATGTTGCTGGTCTTTAAGGTGCTACTGGACTCTAATTTTATTCCGCTGTTACAGACTCGTGGCTAACACCCAAAACTGTAAAAATTGTATAGCTGAGCTGTCTTTCAAAATTTGTACTTTGCCCACATGGGAGTTGAGAAATCTAGAGATTTTAATTATGGGATTGCAGGGGCTCTTGTTAGACCTTCCATGAGGAAGTTCTGCTTGTGCTGCTGTTAGAATTAGCTTGAATATAACATAGGGAAGGGAACTGATGGCAACTGTTACAAAGCATTCTGTTGCTATGGAGAGTAATATTTAGCTCTCATGTGTTGGTGTGAATGGAAAAACAGTGGTATTCATCCCCATTAGTGAGCTAACTCTTGTTCCATGCCTTGGAGCATATTTATTTATTTGCAGATAAGTTTCCAGTTTACTCCAGAGGTTGTTCAAAGCTTTTAGTCAGTCCGCAGCTGAGTTTCATGTAATGTCTTCTAACCAGAAATTTGACCTTTTCTATTGTGTAGTAAAACCTCCTTTCTTCAATGTTTCTTCTTTCAGATAATCCAGATGTTGCGGGAGTATCTTGAACGTCTTGGTCGCCATGAACAGCGGGAACAATTGGATGATCTTTGCACCAGGCTACAGATGACTAGCACCAAAGAACAGGTCAGTATTAACACAGCTAAAAATGTAAATCAATCAAAAACAGCATATCAAGTATCAATGGTCGGAATAACAGCTGATTAAAATAGCAGTTAAAAAAAGAGAATGTTCCTGGTCACCCAAATAAGGGGAGAGGAATCCCCAAACAACCTATCCACCCACAGCTTAGGAAAACATGGGTAAATAACAGTTTCATCTGCTACCAAGAGCTTAACCAGCTCTTTGCCAGGAAAGTATTGTGGGGAGAGCATTCCACAATCCCGGTGCCACCACAGAAAAGGCTCTGTTGCCGATCATCACCCACCTTAACCTTTGAGAGCAGAAGCATATAAGAAGGCCTCCGTTGCAGACCTTTTATGATGGGCAAATGGCATTTTTAATCGTGCTTGGGCACAAACAATTAGGCAACTCATGTAACTTTTTTAAATTGGCAGGGTATTACAGCCCATACCATTTAACAGTCTGGCTGATGTCCCATCCAAAAATTGCTTAAATGTGGTTCATGTTAGAGAGAAGACCTGAGTCTCCATTTGTAGGCATAGTTCTGATAGCAACCCCCCCCCCCCCGTTACAAACTAGTTCAGTCATGTCTAGAACAGGATGGCTTCTTAAGTCCTGATTGTTGACCAACAGCATCTCTGTCCTTGTCTGGAGTGATGTCTCATATTGCTTGCATTTTTGCTCTCCCTCAAGATTAAAATGAACAGGAAATGGCTCTTGAAGGTGTTTTTAAAGAAGGTGTTTCAGATGCATGCAGGAAGCAGAACATTTGCATACAAAGCATTCTAATTCACAGACCATTGAACTGGAGATAATTTACACATTTTGTTCATGTTTGTGCTGGTCCTGGCTTTTGTGTCTGAAGTTTGTGTTGTGGGCCCTTTAACATAACACATATTCAAACTTTCTTTCTGAAGAGTTACAGCCATGCCATTTTATTCAGTCCTATTCAGCTTTAAAGAGCCTGTTTAAAACATACAAAATGTATGTATTTTAAAATATTTTATGCTGAGTGCACAAGGTGGTTCACAGTGTAAGTCATCCTACACCCCAAAGATGATACAATCTCTCAAATGCTAAAAAAATTACATATTCCAAAACCAATAATAAAAGCATGACAGCAACTAAAGTAGCCATCATTAACAAAAACTCACTGTTGCTAATCATAACAAAACTCACAGCAGTCATTTAAAATCAAAACCAACAACAGAGGGGAAGAGCAAACCAAAACTGCAGTTAGTTAATTAAAAGCAGCCTGATCAAAACACCTTGGTCCGGCTCTGAAAAATGGGTGACAGTGGTGCCCGATGTAAAAGAAAGGCGTGTGAAAGCCAGGGGCAGCCACTGAAAAGGCCCTGTCCCTCCTGGCTACCTGCCCCACCAACAGAAAGCAGGAAGCCATGAACAAGCACCCAAGATGCAGAGGGCACTTACATGTAGGGCCTGGGACCTGGGTAGGGCTTTATACATCACAACCAGCACTTTGAGTTGGGACTGGAATAGGCAGTGAAGATATGCTGCCTGTAGTCCACACCAGCTGGCAGTCTTGCTGCTGCGTTCTGGACTAAGCTGTCTTCCACAACTGTCCTGTACTGCAATAATGAAGCTGGGAGGTGACAGGAGCTAGGATAACTGGCGAGATCAGGCTTTCCATAGAAAAGTTGTAGTTGATGAACTATCCAAAGCTGGTAAAAAGCATTCCACATGACATGTGAAATCTGAGCATTCCTCTGTAGCTTCCAAGGTCTGAATCTGCTGTTTCAGGGCAAGTGTGCAACTCCATTTACAGTAGGCTGTCTCCCGGCCATAATGATCACTTAAATTACCCAACAAAGTTAAGAGTCAAACTAGACATCATGAGTGGCACAAGTTGGGACCAATGTTCCCTCTAAGCTGTGGAGTCTTGTGAGCAAAAATTCTACTTTGTGAGCTACTGGCATTAAAGTTGTGAGTGAGCGATTTGGCTACTGCATCAGTTAGTTTGCTCTGGAGCCATTCTTCCTGAGCTAAGACAAAAATGTGTGAGCTGGAGGCTAAAAAACTGTGAGCTGGCTCACACTAACTCACCTTAGAGGGAACACTGGTTGGGACGTGGGTGTCCAGTCTGACTCACTGTCGCACATGACTTGTATGAAGAGGGTTTACTCACCTAAAAGGGGCTCTGTTGGGCTTTGGAGCACTGCAAGGGGTGGTAGTGGAGGGGCTTCCAGCTTCAGTACTGCTGCTTTTGCCAATGGGAATGACTTGGTAGGGCAACAGAAGCCCCTCCACCACCATCACCTTGCAGTGCTCCAAAGCCCAACCTGGTTTTAGGTGAGTAAACACTCTTCATACCAGTTGATAACATGTGACAATGAGCTGGGTTGGGCACTTGTGTCACTTGGAATGTCTAGTTTTGCTCTAACATAGAAGTCCTTCAAGACCAAATCCATTACAGCTTTTGTGAGTCATAGTTGACTTAAACTGGAACATCCCTCTCCCCACCTGAAAAAGACGGGAAGGAGAGAGGGGTTGTGTGTCGCCCACATATTGATGACACATCACTACCTGACTTTGGCTGACCCCTCCTAGGTGTTTGATGTAGATATTGAAGAGCATGGGAGAAGGCATTGAACCTTGTGGGACACTGTGGCCCAATTGCCATAGGGCGTTCAGTGAAGCTCTCCCTCAGCTCTGCTTTCTGGCAGGGAAGAATGAAGCGGCCAGAGTCTGGTGCCCTCCTTCTCCATCCCAGTCAAGCAGCCCGGAAGTTATCAACAGGTGCTGAGAGATCCAGCAAAACTAATAGGGGTGTACTCGTGGTGGAGGGGCTGTGGATCAGGCCTGGAGCACCTGCTTTGCACCCAGGAGGTCCCAGGTTCAATCCCTGGCATCTCCAGCTAAAAGGATCAGGTAGTGGGTGATGTGAAAGACCATGAGTGAGAGCCTGGAGAGCCACTGCCAGTCTGAGTAAACCTTGATGGGTCCAGTGGTCTGAGTCACTTTAAGGCAGATTCATGTGTTTACTTCCCCTGTCCTGTTCCCAGTGGGCATCACCTGTCGGAGTGACAAATGCAATTTCTATACCGAACCAGGACCTAAAGGACACAAGCCCTGACCTGGGTGGCTCAAGGCTAGCCTGACCATGTCTGATCTCAGAAGCTAAGCAGGGTTGGCTCCGGTCAGTATTTGGATGGGAGGACCACCAAGGAACACCAGGGTCATGACACAGAGGCAGGCAACGGCAAACCACCTCTGAATGTCTCATGCCTTGAAGACCCTGTAGGGCCACCATAAGTCGGCTGTGCCTTGACAGCACATTCCACAAAAGGGCACCAATCCCTGGAGCACCACGTTCCAAAAGGGCATATTATCAACCAGCCTATAACTGTTAAGGAAAGCCTATTTTGGGGGTGGGGGCACCTCAGAACGGTTGCAAGGAGGAGAGAGGTCATATGTCTCTGCAACCTGCGTGGTAGCAGGTCCCCTCATGGGAGGATCTCAGGCCCAGTTCAATATCAAACCTGTTAAACTGGGGACCAGATTTTAATCCACAGTTTCAAAGTTTAGTAGTAGAGCTACACCAATCAAAACTAAGTTTGAGAACAGTGGCACCTTTAAGATCAGCAAAGGGTGCAGTCAGACAGCCCACTTATCCCGCTGTGGCCACATTTCTCATTTGATCTGGAGTTTTTTGTTCTGGGGTGGTTCAATCAGACAACCCAGAGCGGCTGTCTCTCACCTCGCTCCTGCTTCGCTTGCAGGCAGACAGGGATGTTCTTCCAGCCCAGCATGGCTTCTTCAGGGCTGCGGCTGCTGCAGCAGGACGACCGGCAGTGAGGGCACATTGCAGTCCACGGCAGTGGCAGGGCCTCCTATTCCCCAAGCCTCATGCCCACCTGGGGAAAGTCGTTGGTGGCTCTTCAGGGCAGCTGTGGCGGGAAAGGGGCTGAGGCGTTGGCAGCACTGGTGTCGCTGCTGCTGCCTGCCGCCCGCCGCCGCTTTATATGGCGAACAGCCGCCTTAGTTTGGGGGAGGGACGACGGGCGAAGTGGTGGTTCTGGAGGAAGGAGGGGGCTCTCTCTGGTTCAGCTGGGACAGACGTGTGCTGAGACAGGTGAATGGAGTGGGGGGGGGACAAAACACACAGGTGGTGCCTAAGAAGCTTGCAGCGCATATCCACTTATGCACACATCAGTAACTTGAGTGGGGGGGGAGCGTGTGGCAGTGAAACAGGAAGTGAGCGATCTGACTTCCCAAAAGGCTTCATCCCACAAGAGAGCAATCAGACATCCGCAGAAGTGCTGTGAAACTAGTAGGATCTATGAATACTGGAAAGCCAGGGGTGAGCACAGGGGGCGGAATGGGATACAGATGTTGCTGTCTAAACAAGCAATTTAAATCCATTGGTGAGAAGCAATAACAATGGATCAGAGTGCTTGTCTGACTGCGGCCAAAGTTTTATTTAAGGTATAGGTTTTCGTGTGCATGTGCACTGAAGAAGCTTATACCCAGAATAAAACTTTGTTGGTCTTAAAGGTGCCACTGGACTCAAACTTTGTTCTTCCACTTCAGACCAACACGGCTACCCACCTGAATCTACCAATCAAATCACTCTCATTGCTAGAAACTGACTCTACTGCATTTCCTGTTCATACATTCTCTAAGAACTGTTACCTTTAGTGGAGCCCTTGTTGTCATTATTGAAAGGTGTCTTGCGTTCCACAGGGGAGAAAGGCAGGTAATAATTTTTTTAAATAAACAGATTCTCTGGTCCATAGTAGCAGAAATATCTCTTGCTTTAGCAGTTTGACTGCACTTGCCCCAAATCTCACTGTTCATAGTTCTGTGCTTCCGGTGCTTAGTGGCTACGTGCAGCTTGGGACCCCATAAGCCCCAGCATTTTCGCCTAATTGCTGCAGCTTTCCTTTCCTGCTCGTCTTCCTTAATGTGTTGCATTGTTTCTCTGACAGGTGGACGAGGTTACTGACCTCTTGGCCAGCTTCACCTCCCTCAGCTTGCAAAAGCAGAAGATAGAGAAGAGGTAACGGGCTTTCTCACTGCTCTCTCAACTGAAAGGAGAAGCTGGAGCTGCCCTGCTGCCAATACCAATCATGTTTTTCCTCTTGGCTCTGAGCTGAGCCTGGACTGGACTGCACGGCGCCGTCACTGCCTTGGATGCTTCCTCCGGGACGAGAGGTTCATGCTGAAGTCCTGACCTTGTGAAGAAGGGGCTGAACTTTTCACTCTCCTGCTTTAACAAGCGTGGGCAAAATGTTTTCGGTATGCTGCCCTTTCAGGGGCATCTGTAAGGTCCCGCAAGTGGTAGATCCATTGTATTTCAAGCACATCTGGGAAACAGCTGTCTGGTACGCCATCACACTCAAGTCTGCCTCTAATTTGATGTTTTTGGTATTCAAGCACATGGATCACTGAACATTTGTACAAGTGGTGAGAGGTGCTTATACCCCTGGTGGGCAGCTTTTTCCTCCCAGGGGTCATAATTTGAACTGAGAGGGCTGAGGGGCCAGTAATGCTGCTGTGCCCCCGACTGAGATATAAAAGGCTGTTTAACAGGGGGGGCCCTCCCCCCGGATCTCATGCCCCTCAGCTGCTCACTCCCATTTCCTGTATTTCGGAACACACACAGGAATCAGTAGCTGAGGTATATAAGGGGAGAATCCTGCTTTTGCTGTTCGTTTTGGAGGCTAGCAGCATAAGGGTGAAAGAGCTCTTGTGGAGATGAAAGGTTTGGTTGCATTTTAAGGAGGACCCCAGCACCCAATTGGGAAGTTATTCGGAAGCCAAATGAGAAGTCCCCAGGGGCCAGAGTAGTCTCCTGGCCCCAGCTTGCCTGTTCATCCCTTATATCCTTGTCTTTCCCCCCCTCCAGAAAAACCAAGAAAGAATGAATTTTGCATACTTCCCCTTACAAAGAATCTGCATATTTTATTGGGGGAATAAGTTGTGTGCTTTCCTAATGGGGATGTGTGATTTGGACAATTGACACTTACTGAACTGTGCTAAGCTTCAGTTAAGTGGGCCATGGAAAAGTCTTTTGGCTTGTATCCTAGATTTTATTTCACATGACGGTCAAAGAAAACTTGCTTTCTCAATTGGGGGCTAAAAGAGAAACATCTCCACAGGTTTACTAAGAAAAGGATTTGCCTTACACAAAGGGAGGGACTGGACCCCAATGCATGCCAACCTAGCCCATCAGTCTACAACCCCTCAAGGATGTAGTCACTTCACAACACTGTGTTTTGACTTCAGTCTGCTCACAAGTGTGTAAGGGGGGGTATATTTAGCAAATTGGTTCTCAGGAGTCACTGGACGTGTTCCCTGCATCACTGACATTCCAAGCCTGGTTTAGGACCTTGAGACTAGTGAGATATTATGACCTTTGGTTTTTAAATAGGCAGTTTTTAAGGCAGAGAAGAATTAACTGGATTCATATCTTTAGATACAAGTCTAAATCTTGGCTTTCATGACCCAAGCAGCTTTGATAGAGAATCATGAACGCTCAGGAGAGGAAAGTTTGGGGGTGACATGACTCTGACCTTCTGGAGCCATCACTGTGAATGCAAAGATCTTCATGCCAATGTGCAAGGAGGGTGGGAGGCTATTTGAACTTTTCCATTGTAGATTTCAATAAAAATAGTGGCTGCTTTCAAGGTGTCTTCAGACATTCTCTCCGCTGTCTTCTCCGGCTTCACCTTCTCTGTCTCTCTTTCGTTTTTGTTTAAGCGACTCATCTCTGCCTGGGGCCTGAATGTGGACTCAGTAGTTTCTTCACTTGAACAATCAGTGGTAAAATGAAAGATGACAGTGTCTCAGTTGCCTTGAGCTCAAGAGCTGAGGCATCCTATCGACCAGATGTAATTTGCTGCCTTCGTTGTGTGCTTGTGGCTCAGCCCCCATTGTTATGAACTTCTGCTTCTTAATGGAGTTGTGGAAGAATCTACAAAAACGAATCAATGTCTCTTTGCTACCCCCTGCCGCTTCACTGACAGCAGCTTATGTGCACTGTACCTGGGAAACAGCGCTGCTGTCTAACTAAATCATATTTCTATATTGAATTCCTTTTATAGCACAGAAGGCAAAAATATTAATCATTGTAGTTTGGGGGGAAAGCAGGGAAGGGAGGAATTGTCAGAAACTCTTCACCTGGGTTGTAAGGGGTGGGAAATAGGCAACGTGCCAAGGAGTATGTTGATGGTCTAGAGAACATGCATTCTGCTTTGGTTACTTCTGATAACATTTAAGAAACGGAACAGGAGCTGATGGCAAACTTTTGCTCAAGATTTCTGCTTTGAACCCGCCTGCTCCCTGAGAAAGATCTTGCATGCAATTCACTAAGATCATCCATGGAAAGGAATGGATGCCATTTAAAAGCAGGGAAACGGGGGCCATTTTGTGGGGAGGTGGTGCTGAAATAATGTGGTGGAGGAAGCCTGTGGTGTAAATCAGACCCTTTGACTGTACCAGTTGTGCTGATTTGTGCTGGTTCTGCCCTCCGAACAAACAGTTGAAGAATCATGAATACCAACTTCATATTCATATGAAAGGCCCAGTTGACAACAGAGGCTGTCTGGGCTAGAAGGGCAGGGCTGGTACTGCACCTAGACCATTTCATAGAGTATGCCTCTAAAGGGGGTTTTGTGTGAGGGGGCTTGGTTGTTGGACTGGCCCGTGTTCCCTTGGAGCTAATAAACAGAGATTGAACCGTATGTTAGTAGTTTGCCCCCCCCCCCACTTTATTTAATTTTTATATCAATTGGATGGTCAATAGTTTATCTGATCTCAACTTTCATCCCCCCAAATTGGTCTCTAGAGCACTTTCATTTTTCTTTATGTGGATGAAGCAATATTGTCCTTTCAGACAAATATTGGTTTAAGGAGGCTGCTGAGGATTCTTGCCTTATATTGTGGCAATGAACTTTTGACCCTTTTTTGCCATCAAGTCCCAGCTGACTTCAAGGCAGGAGACATTCAGAGGTGGCTTTTGCCATTGCCTGCCTCTGTGTTGCAGCCCTGGACTTCCTTGGTGGTCTCCCATCCAGATACCAACCCTGCTAAGCTTCTGAGATATGACGATTAGTCTAACATCCTTGCTTTTACTAGAAGGAAGAGCAAGCATAGTTTAACGGGAAACATACTGAGCAGGTAACAGGCTATAAATAAGAGCAGGGCTATTTTTGGGCAGGAACACACAGGAACGGAGTTCTGGCTGGCTCCCGAGTTGGCCACACCCAGCAGGAACTCATTAGTATAATAGGCCACACCCAACAGCAGAAAAGCATTAGGGTTGGCTACGTTAGGGGTGTGTGGCCTAACATGGAAAGGAGTTCCTGCTACAAAAAAAGCCCTGGGTTCTGACAACAAACAGTAAACAGAATAAGAAGCAAAAGGTGGGTGTGGATGGATGACGATACTTCTGGTAACATGGCGGTGAGGCCTAATATGCTAATGAGCTGTGTTAGGGGTGTGGCCTAATAGGCTAATGAGTTTCTGCTGTTGAGTGTGGTCTATTATGCTAATGCGTTCCTGCTGGACTTTTTCTACAAAAAGAGCCCTGAAGTAGTTTTTCACTCTTCTGAGTCCTGGTATGTACAAGTAAAGAATGCTGGAAGGAATGCCCAGAGAGTGGCTCTACTTTGATAAGATTTCTTCTTTTATAGAAGCGGAGGACAATATATCCCCTTAGCTATTCATGTTTTTGTGGCCAAGATTACGGCGATAGCTCGCAATTACCTGTGTATGATAGGGTTGTCAACCTCCAGGTGGCACCTGGAGATTTCCACTATAACAATTGATCTCCAGGCACCAGCTCCCCTGGAGATAATGGATAATTAGGTGGGCGGACTCTATAACATTATACTATGCTGAGGTCCGTACCCTCCCCAAATCCTGCCCTCCCTGGTCTCCACCCCCAAAATCTCCATTTTTTCCTAAACCAGAGCTAGCAACCATAGTGTATGATAACTTTAGTTCTTTTGAAATTATACAAGCTAAATTTCTGAGAGCGATTTTTGCAGTTCCTCATTGTGTATCTAAAGCAGCCCTGTGTCTTGAGGCAGGCTTAATTTTTCTTGAAGCCCATGCCTGGATATACTGTATAAATTTTGGTCAAAGATTGTTTTCTTACCTGTGAAACTTGCTGACACTATTGGTCCAATTGGAAATGACTCCAGAGAAACTTTGGGTCAGTAGTTTAATAGCCTTTTTGGATACTCAAAATCCAAATAATTCAACAAAGGATCTGGAATACTGAATTACAACATAATCTAAGTCTTGTCACAACATATTTCTTCAGGGACAAGAAGGCTGTGGGCTCTTAATTCTTTTCCCAATCTACTACCCAAACTTAGAAAAGCTTTTACTTTGACCTGATTCAATGTCCTACCCTCTGTACTCTTGCAAGGGAGATACCATGGAGTACGGTATCAGGAACACACATTCCATTGTCGAAGTGAGGAAGTCAAAACTGTATTGTATTGCCCTTTTTACTGTGATCTTAGACATGATTTTATTACTCCTATTCTTCAAAAAATTCAGGGTAGTTCTGAGAAATCGTATATTCTTTTCTATTTCACATCCTAGGATCCCACTTTCATCTCATATCTCCTCACATACCTGGAATAGTTTGCTAATATCTTCACTAGTTCTTGTACTATCAGAGTAATTGGAACCTAGCTGAACTACTGGAGTGGCCTGCTGTTTGACCAGCTAAAATTAGTTTTCTAATTTCTCAAATGAGGAGTGGGAAGGTCCCAGGTACAGAACTTTTTCTCATGGTGGAAGGATATATTGGCAACTGTACTGCTGGTGTTCTGCTGCCCGCTTGGAGACATGCTATCATAATAGTTTATATGAAGGGAGACAAAGCAGACCTGTCCAACTACAGGCCTATCAGCCTTTTATCAGTGGCCTCAAAGCTTTAAGCTCTGTCTCTCTATTACTGATTAATGGCCTGGTTGCAGATCAATAAAATCCTGGGAAGGGAACAAACCAGTTTAAGGTGAGGGGCTGGTACAGAGTATCATCTTCTGACATTACAGTTCTTAGTAAATACAAGGGGGGACCCGCGATACTCGCGGGGGGGG